AACTAATTGAAATTTTCTAATCCCCTGCCGCCGCCACGGTGAAATTGTCGCACCGATGCGGCTCTGAGCACAGCCGTGACGGTAACGAGGCCATGTACCGGGAAAGCGCCGCCCAGGGCAGGAACGTGAGCTGTCACCGCCGTGACCACCTGGGAGCCCTCGGCAAGTGCCACCGAGACAAGGGGGTGCGGGGGGACAGTGGTGCCGTCAGTGGTGCAGGGAGACGAGGGGTACCCCCCAACAGCAGGGTCTGGGGCTGGGCGCAGGATGTGGCCTGCAGGTGCTGGAGGATGGTCTCCAGCCGAGAGCGGTCCCCAGCTTGGCTGCAGAGCAGCCACTAGAGGGAAATGGAGACCGACTGTCACCATGTGCCACCGCGGCAGGGTGAGGTAGGAGAGAGCTCTGGAAGCTCAGGGACTGTGTCGCCTCTCGGCGGGGACTGAAAGCTGGTGTGGTACGTCCTATCCCATCTGTCCGTCTACCCATCCGTCCATCCCTCCCTCCCTGCCCGCTCCCGGGCAGGCCCACCGACCCGGGCCACCTTTCTGGAGCAGCCCGTGCCCTCCGGCAGCCGCAGGGGAACGGCCACGGGGCTGACACCCCCTGCACACTCCTGGCCGCGGGGGGCTGCCCCAGGGCGGCATCGCACTGTCCTGCAATCGCCCTCGCGGCCTTCCTGCAGGATTTCGGCTGCTCCCCCTCCCTTTTCATAACCTCAGCCCCAAGCAGCCCGAAGCCAGTGAGGAAGCATCCCTGCTTCGCCCCCTCCCGCCCCCCAGCCCTGTCTCGCTCCCTTCTATGAGCAGGGAGTTGCCGTCTCCGTAATTGCTCCTGCACAGAGCTGCTCGGTGCCTCTGATCGCCTCCAGCTCCCGCTTTGAACCTCCTTGAGCTTTGCTGAGTTCTTCTCCGGGGAGGATCACAGCCACGTGGGCACAGCCGAGCTCTACCCTGTGCCATAATTACCATTTCTCCTTTGCTCTCCATCCCTTCCTAATAACCCCTAACCCCTGATTTGCCTCTTTGGCCCATGCTAAGATCTTGAGGGTCCCTGGGGAGGGACACGTTGTCACCTCTGTCCTGACACGGTGACTCTGCCTCTGCTCAGTGCCCACCCGGCTGGGCACCAGCCTGCCCTGGCACCAAGACCCAGCTGGGGCACCCCGGGAGTGACGGTCCCCGGGGCTGCAGCACCCTGAGCAGGAGAGGTGGAGGCTGAGCCCGGCCTGGCAGGGCAGAGCGGAGCGGAGCGGATCAGGTGAGGAGGGGCACTCACAGCCTTTGTAGATGTCCGTGGGGATCTGCACGGCAGCGTACGAATAGTTAACCTTGGTCTTGAAGTTGGCGTCATCGGTGAACTCCAGCTTCAATGAGTTGGACTTCTCCCTCTCGATCTCTTCTCCATCGGGATCATCCTGGGGAAGGAGCAGAGCACACGGGGTCACCTGGGGGTGCCAGCCCTGGACACACGCCGGGAATGCCGCTGCCCAAAGCCCATCACCAAATATCCCCCCGCGGAGACTGGCAATGACGGCTCTTGTGCCGCATTTGGCCCACAGCCCGTGCCAGCACCGGTGGCACAGGGGAGTGGGTGTCAGGAACGGGTGTGCACGAAGGCGAGCGCTGGTTACCCTTGCCTCTCCAGCTTTTGTAGCACGGCAGGTATTAAATCAGACAAAAAAAAAACCCAAACCAAAAAAAAGCCTTGAAAATCAATTAGCAGCAAAAGGCAACTATCAAAGAACAAATTAAAACGGAGTGCAGCTTAGCACTCTGTCAATAAGCAATGCAAACAATATTTAATTATGGTGGAGAGACGGCGAATTCCCCACTGCCGGCGCTGGAGCACGCTCCCTCGCCTTCCCAGCCCTCCTCTCCCTTCCTGGGGTCCTTCTGCCAGTATGGCGCGGGGGTAAAACCCCTCCGGCAAGGGGGCTGAGCCGGTGCAGGCAGGACAGCCAGTGGCTGCAGGCAGGGGGACAGGGTTGGAGCCGAGGCGCAGGGCCACACGGGGAAGCGGGAAGAAGGGGGTGGCCTTGCTACAGAGCTGGGGAAATCGCCTTTGCCATCCCGCTGGGAGCAAAGAAACCCGGGAGAAAGTGCTGGCTCCAGGCTGTCATGTCCCTGCCACGAGCCCAGTGGCCGGGGAAGGCTGTTTGCAGCTGGCTGTGAGATGCTAAGGATGGGGAGGAGGAGGATGCTGCCGCAGCATCTGCCCTTTGTGCCCCCCGAGCTACAACTCTGCTGAAGAGGGGCCAAATGCAGAGCTGCCTCCCCCGTCTGCGGGCAGGAACAGGCAACACAGGGGCAAGGACATGCCAAGCCCGAGCTGGGGCACAGGATGGCTCCAGCCGCCCTCCCATGGCCCCGGCTGCGGGAGCAGAAGGGGCGGGGGGTGTGTGCAGGAGAGCAGGAGCCGCCGCGCCACCCAGCAAATTCCCCTTGAGAAGCAGCTCAGTGCCTCTCCCTTTGTGCCTCCCCCCGAGTGAAGTGCCTATCTTGGAGCCCCTGTAAGGCCATCTGATTGCGGTAGCAGAGATCAGCCCCGGAGAAATGACAGCGGACGTGACTGGAAGCGTGAGCAGCTCCAGGCAGGGCTCGTGCAGTGCCGTGCCAGGGATGGCCGCCCGGAGGGATGCCCCACGCCGTCCTGCGGCAAAGCACCCCGGCACCAGCGGGGATAAGGGGTAGGGGATGGTCCCATCCTGCTGTCCTTGATGGCCCAGCGCACGCAGCTTTCCCACCGGCCAGGCTCCTCTCAACAAAACCCAAGGGACAAAAGATCTGAATTTCTCATGGGAAAAGCCATATATTTAAAGGCAAATGATGTATTTGGGAAATCTATGAAGCTCGTTTAACACCCATCCTGGCCTCCCCCCTGTTTCCCCTTCACAGACGATGCAGAGAGATGCCACCTCACCTGCGCCAGCTCTGGCCGGCCACCGAGGCAGTGACATTCCCCTGACATTGTGAGGGGTGGCCAAACCATTCGCCACAGCTCGGGAGAATAACAGGATTGATATGCGAGGTTTGGGCTTTAATTCCAGACGATGGATTGCGAGTGTAAACACGCTGCTGAGCCGATCCTGGTGCTGGAGCTCCAGCCATCCAGAAAGATGCTGAACTCAATTACAGCCGCAGTAGCCAAACGGGAGGCAGGCAGGGACTGTCCCCACCTCCCCTGAGCCACGTCGCCAAGATCAAAATCCAGATTATGCTCTCAATTTCACGTAAATCCAGAGAAAAGGCACAAAACTGATTGCCGGACCCCCTGCAAAGCCGCAATGCCGCAGCAGAGCTGGCACCCTGGCTGCGTGCTGGGCCAGGGGCTATCCGGAAAGCGGATCCGGCCCCAAGCCTGCCATCAATGTCGGATTCAGGTCTCTGGGGGAAAGCGGTTGCACACACAATAGGTCGCCCCTGCCAACCTCTCTCAGCACTAGATGGTGATTTAGAGGCATCTGCTGAAAACAGGCTTTAGATGGGATAAAGCTGTGGCCCCGAGGACACCTGCAGCACCAAAAACTCTGCTTTGACACTAAAAATTTCTTTTCCTGAGCTCAGCAAAGTCCTGGTGACACCTCCCTGTCCCTCCCCATCTCAGACCGACGGGGGATCCTGCCCAGGTCCAGCCCATCCGCTGCTCCCGCCACTACCGGCAGCCGAGAAAATCCAACCCTCCCTATTTCCCCCACACTGGCATGGTTATTCCCCACTTCACCAGAGCTGGAACTACTGTATATAATCACCGCCCCTCTGTTTATCATTATTCCATTATATCACCCACTTCTGAGGGGCTAATTTGTATTCTGCCAGGTTCGGCGCTGTCTGGCTGCTCTCATTCATGTAGCTGTAAAGAGGCATATGTATAGATCTCGAGACAAGTATACAGCTATCTATACGTAGGACACTTCATGCATCACCGACACCTATATGGCAAACAGACCCACGGAAAGAGCTGGTGTTATCCAAACTACGTTTCCTTTACCCATAAATCTCCTGACCACAACCGAGTTATTCCTGTTTAAGCCAGGCTGAATTTGGCCCCTGAAATGGGGTCATTTCCACCCAGATGAAGGCAGGCAAAGCCGTCACCAGCCCAGGCAGGGATGGGAGCATCTCGGTGCTAGGCTGGGGCTACAAGGAGCCACCTTGGGAAGGTGGAGGAGGAAGAAATTCTGTGTTAAATTTATATTAGAGCAAAGGAGATGAAGATTCAAGTTCTCCTGGATTTACACCGGTTTAACTGCGAGCATCTCGGCAGGCCCCCAGCCAGATTTTGCAGCATTTCTCATCATTACATTTCAAAAGAACTTGGAAACATCTATTTATCTGTTACAATATGTACAACATAACACAAATAGATGCTACAGTTTGAATATATTATTTGCTACACACCATTAGAAATCGACTCCATAGCAATATATAAATATTATACATATTTATTGCTTCAGCAAGTCATCACGCGCCGAGAGCTTTTGCCATCTTCAGTGCTATAGCAGCTGGGTTGCCAGTCACAACATTTTCTCTTGAGTCTCCCAAAATGACGGACAGGGGGCAAAACCCAGAGATGCCCCAGCACCCAGTGAGCACCAGTGGCACCACCCAACAGCTTTGCTGGAGGCTGCCACGCTCTCAGCAAGTACCTGCCCTCCATCACATCCAGGCTGGTGCTGGCTGAGAAGAGCCAGCCTGCCCATGGGCACAAGGACTCGGGGGGGTCCCCACCGGTGATGGGGTTTGGAGCTGCAGATCAAGCCGGGGATGTGACCCGGCACAGCGGTGATGCCTCGGCCAGGCAGCTCCCATGGAAGCAGACACCCCCGTTCATTGCTCATCTCCATGGGAACGAGCCATCACAGCTAATGATGACTGCTTAAATGGTAGCACCGATGACAAACGCAGGGCTGATCCGGCTAGCGGCGCAGGTGGCAGCTCCAGGATGCCAGCTGGGGTTTCGCAGCTCCGGACGCGCCGGGTAGGCGCAGTCTTCCCCCGCGGTGCTCCTCCTGGTACCCTCGGCACCAGCAGAGCTCCTGCGAGCCGCATCACCCCAACAGCATCCCTGCATCCCACATCCTGCCCCTCACACGCCCGATCAAGAATATATCGCACCGAGATCCCAACACATCCTTTTAAATTTCCCAGGGGCACCCATCCATGTTAAGTCCGGAAAAGCCAGCGAAATATTCATATCGACATGCTGTGATTACTACTAATAATGAATATAAACGGGATGTGTGGCTCAATTCACCTGCAAGCCTCAAAGCCTTTGCAAAGGTGGGGGGGGTTCATTGCTGTCCTTTGCAGGTGAGGCGAAATGAGTCCCAGGGCATGGGACCATTTGCCCAAGGTCACGCGAGAAGCCAGGGAGAAGAGTGGTGACAGCACGTACTTGTCCTCCTCCCGGGGCTCTGGGTGGGGGGGGCGCGCCTTCCTGCCCGGAAAAGCCCCTGGCTGCGCCTGCACAGCACCCACCGGCAGCATCGCCTTGCGGCGGGACCCAGGGGCTCCTTGGCAGAAGTGTTTTGTTGTTGTTGCTAGAAAATGCCTTTTTTTTTTTTTGCAAGAAAGGGCCAGCTCTCAGATCTGAACAGCACGCGTTCCCGCTCTCCCTGCGCAAGCTGTCCTGGGGGAGCCTTCTTCTGAGACAGAAACATTTTGAAACCATCCAAACAAAGCACTCCACCCCATCTGGGGAGTCCGAGGAAACGTCAAACCCCCCTTTTTTTCCCCAAATTCAGAAGGAGTTTTTTTCCCTTAACCGCAAACCCACCGCTGCCCTGTGCCAGCTCTCGGGGCAAGCAGGGTAGGCTGAGCAGAGGGGCTGAGCCCACCCCTGGGGCCGCGGTCCTGCCCTCTGCCCCCTCAGCAAGCTCCAAGGCACACAGCTGAGAAACTCCAAGCCCACACAAAAGGGCCTTTCTCCTTCTTAAATATCTCAGCTTTTCCTGAAATGTGACAATTTAATGCCAGGGAGGGAGACGGTGTGTTCTTCAGCCACGTTCCTGCTTTTATAGCAGCCCAGGTTATAAATAACAATCAGCCTCTCCCGCCAGCCTGCTCCCCTATCCCCCTTCGCTTTTTTTAATCTTTGCCAAAGGTACTGTTTAGAGATCTTTCTAGACTATTTATTTTTAAATTACCAGCCAGAGGAAAGAAGAAGGGGAAAAAAAAAAAAGAAAAAGAAAAAAGGCAAAAGAAAGAAACTTCTGGGGCTGATAGCTTATCGGGAGAAAATCCAAATGTCACATTAGTTGAGAAAGTTGGAAGATTAAATTTTCCAACACCCTTCATCTGCTGCTGACATTTAGGGGCTTTTCTTTCCCTCCTCCCTCTCCTCTCTGCATCTCCCGAGCAGGGTGAGCAGCGAGCGGGCAGCCCCTGCCTGCGGCCGGCAGTCCCTGCCTGCGGC